GGGGAGTTGGGTTGACCCGTCCCAACCGGGGGGTGGAGGGCCTCCCCCGCTGGTCCTGGGGATGGGTCACAGGGGGGTTCCACGGGGGGCAGAGGCGACTCAGGCCCATTCCCACCATGCATCCGAGGCAACACCATTACCCACCCACCCAACCTGCTAACCACCCATCCAACCAGCTAACCACCACCCAGCCAGCCAGCTGACCAACCACCCATCCCGTTAAACAACCACCCAACCAAGTAACCACCACCCATCCACCCAGATAACCACTGCCCAACCAGCTAACCGAATGCTCATCCAACCAGCTAACCAACCGCCTAACCAATACCCATCCAGCTGGCTAACCAATCACTCAATGAGCTAACCAGCCACCCATCCAACCAGCTAATCAATCACTCAACCAGCTAACCGCTCATGAAGGTAGCTAACCAGTCACTTAACCAGCTAACTAACCACCCAGCCAGCTACCCGCTACCCATCCAACCAGTTAACCGCCCACCCAAACAACTAACCAACCACCCACCCAAACAACTAACCAACCACCCATCCAAACAGCTAAGCAACCAACCAGCTGACCACTGCCCACCCAGCCAGCTAACAAACCAGCCCACCACCCAACTAACCAGCTAACGATCCACCCAACCAGCTAACAACCCATCTGACCACCCAACTAATCGCCATCCATCCAACCAGCCAACTAACCAACCAACCACCCAACTAACCTGTTAATTGGCAAGCCAGCTAACCAACCCATCGCCCAGCTAACCAACCAGCCCACTGCCCAGCTAACCAGTCAACCAACCAGCTGATCACCCAACTAACCACCCACCCGGCTCACCACCCATCCAACCAACTAACTACCCGCCCACCCAACCACCTTGTCACCCGCTTGACTGACCCACCAAGTACCCGGCAGCTCGACCTGTTAATTGGCAAGCCAGCTAACCAACCCATCGCCCAGCTAACCAACCAGCCCACTGCCCAGCTAACCAGTCAACCAACCAGCTGATCACCCAACTAACCACCCACCCGGCTCACCACCCATCCAACCAACTAACTACCCGCCCACCCAACCACCTTGTCACCCGCTTGACTGACCCACCAAGTACCCGGCAGCTCGACCTCCCGCCCAAGCACCCGCTGACTCCACCGGCCAACCAGCCCCTCCCCCAGCTGACCAACTAACCAGCC